GAGAGAGAGAGAGAGAGAGAGAGAGAGAAAGAGAGAGAGAGAGTCCGAATAACGAAATGAGTTGGAAACCAAGACCTCCAATGTTGATGTCTGTTCCAAATGTTGAAGAAGAAAGTGAAATACGAAAAATATACCTCTTGACTTGTTTTAATTGAAAACTTATCTTTTGATTGTATTTATGTATGCCAATCCAGTGGCAGGTTCTATCTTTTGAACGATGGAGAAGAGTGTTATTCAGAATTGTGTGACTGGCGTCTGTGACGTAGTGGTCAGGCACCTCGCCGTCGCACTCAGGAGACATAAGTTCGATTCGCGTGTGTGATACTATTTATCAAGGATCTCAATGTTTTTGTTTGGGCGTTGTATCCCCCTCAGCCTGGTTTGACCATGACAGGCAGGGTCGAAGCCCGCCTCCTAAATGATCTAAATTGTGTCGACGGGGCGTAAAAAAACAATACTTATATTTTTTTATGAAAAAAAATCGACTTTGTTTTCTCTCCATTAAATGATATGACCTTTATCGTGTCAATGTGCTTCCCTTTACTCACACTTTAAATAAAAATGAAAATCAAGTTTATTACGACATTTTCAAATAAGGCTGCGCCAAAACTGTCATGTTGTTAAAGTGGGGGGGGGGGGGCTACACATGAAGGCTATCTCGCTTATTACTTGACCGAATTTTAGTACATTTCACACATATAACAAGCTACTATGCTTGTTATATGTGTGAAAAGTACTAAAATTTTAAAATCCGCAATCAAATTTGAGAAAAAAAGTTCGTTCACATGGATACGGCGGCCATATTGGATTTTGTTGACATGTCTTAGGTAATGAATGCCGCACTTGTCGCTCTTGGAAATTGATTAGTTTTTTTTGCTTGCGTGTTAACAAACATTAGATCTAAAAATTTGTACGTTGTTTTTTTCCTAAACGAATTAGAACATTTTTAAAGAATTTTTTTCCTGAGGTAGCATTCAAGTTTGCAAAAAAATCCGTGAAAATCCACACTCCAGATACCACCAACAAAAATCTATTCCACATATCAAAATTCAACAGACACATTTTTAGCATTTTATCTTCTCTTCATTCGGTGAAAATTTTATGAAGATTGGATAAAAAATGGTGGAGTTATTCAAAAAAGTATAGAGAAAAGTTGCGTTTTGAGAAAACGGCCGATAAAGAAAAATAAAACTTTATTGACTTTATGAGGAAATGGCAGTGACAAACATGTCAAGTATGGGAATAAAATACGGGGTTTTTTGGGGGTTCTCATTCGATGAAATAATTGTAGTAGAGGCTGAGGAAGCTAAAAATGCCTACAACTCAAATTTCAAAATTTTGAGCCGAATCTTGACTTTGGGGGTGTAGCCCCCCCCCCCCCCCCCCCACACACACACACACACCTAATGTAGTAAACTTTAACTACTCATCTTGTTTATTTCCGAGTTCTGCGTGTGGCATGCTTTACTTCAGCAAAGGGCCAGTGAAGCTAGGTAACATTATCCCGTTCCTCGACCCTAGACCGCTTGATGAACAGCGATGGCCTTTTGGGATTACAATAGTGGTGGGCAAATTTGCCGGAAATGAGTAACAGCAAATCCCAGTACCAAATCCAGTAGATACTCCCAAATCCCAGTACCAAACCCAAATCCTGGGACTCATGAGTAGAGAGTATACTCCCCTTCTTGAGTCCGCTGCACTGCGTTGAGTAGCTAGAGCAAAACCAAGTAGCAGAGCAAATCCAGTACCACTACCAGTTACCAGTTACCAGTTACCAGTACCAGTAGATCTTGGCCTAGCAGACGAAATCCCGTTGCGAGACTGCGCTGCGCGCGGCGTGCGGCTGTGTGATATTATTATAATTAGAATAACGCGGGCTTTGGAATGTTGGCCTATCACAGCTTTAGGACTGGTTCACCGTGGGAGAAGAGGGGGGGGG